AATAGCAAATATTTGTAGTAGGCCTTCAGGTTGTATTATTTCGTACATTTTTCAATTCTAATAATTATGAATGATTCAAATTAATACTAAAATTAATAATATAACACATTTAATTTTATGACAATAAATTTCAACCTGTATTACTCGTATTTATTTAATTAACGAAAATATATATTAATAATTATATCGTGACCCGTAAAAAACAAATTTGATATTTACGCAGGAAATCAGTTATCATGTCGCATCGTATCGGACGCGTACGCAACGCCCCCGCAACGATATTTAATGAACATTTCGATAACCGAACTAATGATAACGCTTTTAACAAGCTCAACCTCCCGGCTGGGGTTATTTTCTTTTGTTTTTACTCCAAACAGCAATGAAAAGACTTCCATTTCGTATGAAGACGGTTAGCTTACTACCGGCCTGCGTCGTTCACTGGCCACTAAGAGAGATATCTATACAAAAGGGTAGTTTTCCTTAGTGTCGATTTCTTAATTTTATTTAAGTAGTGACGTTAATAGCATCATTTTCCAAATACAATCTAATCTAGATAAGGGAGAACCCTCTACAAGCGAGTCACTGAAAATATTTGGCAGGTATTCTTACTGTACCTTCTTATGTTAAAAGCTATCTATCTCCTTCATCTCAACCCACGTCTCAAGAAGGGACTAAGGACTTCCATATAGCACGGTGCACTTCTCTTTCGCGTCTACCTATTAGGTATCCTTTTTACATTAACCTATCGAAACATACGTGCGTAATACGTGTAATAACATTTTATAATTTCATAGTAAATTATTAAACATCTTATTATAATCTTAGTGCAATGTTGAAGGTAATATCTTGTTATAGTTTGGTTCAAATCAATCTCCTGCCTTGTAAAGCTATTGTTACTATCTTCTGACGTCAGCAGACTGACACTGGACGATTATTATTCTACGACACGAGTTTATTTTTGTAAACTTTAATAACGATTGCAGTTACAATGAAGTTTAACGAAAGATAAATTGATGATAGAATATAGTAGAGGTGTATATGTTTGGGTGTAATGGATGGATGTTTGTTAGAAGGTATCTCCAGAGCGGCTGCATAGATCTTGACATAGATGTAGAACATTTCTGCTAATTAAGTTTTTTTAATACCGCGCAGACAGAGTTTCTTGTGTATTGAACAAATTATTATAGTGCCTAACTAAAAATTATTTATATTATATTCTGCTTAACATTTAGACAGTATAGCGATAGTAACATAGCAGCGGGCTGTATTGCGTTACCGGCACGTTATCAGCAAATTAAACTTTATCTGATATTTCACGTTTCGTCAGCGCAGAGGCCAACGGAAGCGTACGGCAATTGCGTTACTAAATTAATGTTAGTTCTACGTTCACCTGTTTTCTAAATGTACTTTTGACGACATTCCATTTCATTAGCAGAAAACTCATTAAAATTTTCGAACTTTATCAGTGATAATACTATTAGAAATAAAACAATACAAATATAACTTCGTCAGGAGGAAATTAAAAAAATAATTTGCGCATGCATAATCCTACGCGTCAAAATTGGTCCAGCTGTTTCGGAGATTATCAGGAACAAGCGCGGATTTGCAGCCATATAGGCTGACACATATTTAAAAAAAAACTGATTCTTTATAAGCAAAATACATCATGGTTGCGATTTTTTTTCGATGTAATATTTTAACATTTATTTTATAAATAAATAAAATATGATGTAAAACTATTATAAAGGTATGGTTACATTAGTGATGCGTTTTGTTTTGTTTATTTTACATAGAGTTCGAAGAAAGGGTTTTAAATCCCGGATATACAAACAAGGGTAATGTAATAACTGTAATCTATACATTATAAAAACAAAGAGCTCGAGCTGTGTCCGTACGTTACGGTTTCTAATTCCTTTCCATTGTGCTCACCGTTCACATTCTTAACACGATGTTAATCTCCAGAGAAAAGTGTTTGAATCTGATGAAAGTTGATTTCACCAAATTACTAACCTTAATGTAATTAATTTTCTTTTTCAACAAGCAAATATTACGTTACATTGTATTCTAAATAATCGGTAACACAACTATTAATATTTTTTATAATAATTTAAGAAATGATATGTAAAACTCAACAATTTGACCATTAAAAGACAGGAATTGAGGGACATTTTCTAACGTTTTTTCGCAAGCTCATAAAGAGCTTTTAATGAGATTATGAAAGCACAATAAAGCTTTGAAACATTACGTTTACATTGAATTAACAGTACTTACAGGAAGCCGTTTGAGATCGTACACCGTAACAGTTCAAGATGCGTGTGTGTATGGTAAGATGCATTCCTACATGCACTTGAGTTAATAGTTACTTCCTTGTAAGTTAATTTAAGATATTAATATTAACATTTAAATATACAATCCAAATATATTTTCGAATTAAGGAACGATAAAGAAACTAATATTTGTGACAACATTTGCAATTTATTCACTGAAAATAACCTAACTATTTCGTCTCTATCTGTATTTTACAATTTTCTTTTAAAATCCCAAAAAATATGCATATACCACTACATACAAGTTACAAGACATTTATTTTGAAAATTCGAGTTGTTTTTTATTCATTTGAGAAATAAAATTGTGTCTGTATCACAAAAAAATCATGTCAGATCTTTAAAAGCTCTCACCGCATTTCGAGATAATAATGTTTACATTAGCCGCGTGCTCCAGATCCGTCTGCGCTGCTATCGCTGTTAGCTTAGCCTTATCTGGCTTATCTAGGCCGTCAGGTATGTTTTACAAAACACTATCTTTCCCCGCGACTATCCGTGTTTTGATTTTTATTAATAACTAGCAGGCGCGCGCAACTTTGTAGGCGCAGAATTAAATAAGGAAGCCTATAAGTATACTCAAGTGCATTAGCTAGCTTATCGTCAAAATCGGTCCATCAGTTACGCAGAAAACTTTTGCTCCTGACTTCTTCCGCGCGAAATTAAAAACGTGATAAGTAGCCTTCCAGGCTATGCATTTTCTATTATCTCCTCAAATAAGATCCTTCCTCCGCTAGCCGTTCACGCGTGATTGGACCGAGGCAAATAGGAATTCATTTTTACATACCACAAAAACCTCTGTAAGCGAGTACTCGTTTGCTTATTCAGGTTCAAATATATGATTCAGTTAAATTATATAATTACACAATTATGTCTTAGTATAAGCCAAAGTTTAAAAAAAAAGTAATTTCTATACGGCAGTTAAGTAGGGAATTAATTTAGTCGATAGAGTTCGTTCCTCCGGAACATTTCGTGTAACTAGATATTTAAAAAAAAATTGTGAAAAACATCCAAAAGCCAATTTGAACAGCTTGTTATAGCGCGATGTTTTATAGCAGGAAATGGTTTGTCTTCATTAAATAAATTACGTGGACAGTTATCAAAACAATTTGTTATATTGTCTAAATTAAGCCATTCTCGAGCGAGTATAACGCCCTTACTCCGGCACAAGGCTGGCTTTGACGTCACATCATGAGGACACGCAGCGAGTGACTGGCGATGTATAAAGGCATTATCACACTAAATCAAGCAATTTATAAAATTAAATTAAGTTCTATGAAAACTAGGCTTATAGATGGATATTGGAACATACGAGTAGAACATTATAGTAATATCAACTCTTTCTTTTATTATTTAGTTTTTAACCGGCTTCAAAAAGGAGGTTCTTAGGTCGCCTATATGTTTTTTTATTTTTGTTACTTAGTAGCTTAAGTCCTGGTTGTCTGATTTTTATAATTCTTTTTTACTCAAAGGGTACTTCATCGTGTCATTAAGTCTCATTTTTGTAAACTCAAAAAATATGGAGTAGTTATGAGTTATTTTTAATAAACCGTGCCAAAAATTCGGTGAAAAATAGGACAATTCTGGTTTCTTAGCTTATGTAGCCTAATTGTTTAATCAAGCGATTTTAAAATTTTTTGAAGTTTGCGTAATAGAATAGCTATTCATAACATCAGATGGTTATTATCTAACCTAGCTTATTCTTTGGGTTATTCGATATAAATAACATGATGTTTTCAACTCCCCCACCGATTGCAAATAGTCCCATAAATGCATCATTTTGGAGGCGTTGACCCCTACCAATATGGTGACACCCTAACAATTTAACTGTTGGATGCGGCAGTGAATTAACTTGAGTTAAACAGACCGTGAAAGGGGCAACATTTTTTATTATAAATATCCTTTGTTAAGGGCCTTGCTGTCTGGTACTTCAACTTTACTATGGCTTTAATAATATGTAAGTAATAAGAATGGAATATGTTACTAAAATGTCGCGGGCAGTAGCTAGTATCTAATAAATGGGAATGTTGTATGGTTGATTGTTGTTAAAGTTGATAAGATACTAGTAATTCAGGCTTATGCGGGTGCAATGCATAAATTATAAACGAGAGGTCATATGAGTATTTAAATACTAGGATCTGCCGGTCCCCTGCAGTAAGTAAAATATATCTGGGTATTTAATTAGAAAACTAGACGTTTTAATCACATTTTGTCTTAATGATATTAAAGTGAGTGTAATCAGAATAAACATATTATTACAGATAGGAATCTTGATAGTATCAAAGTATTTTTTTCATCTAATGCAGTTCGCTTTGTCTTGAATTACGCACAATTATTATGTGAATGATGGATAGGGTGTCAGGTATATAGAAATAAAGATTTCGGTTAATAAAAATATTATCTATCGTGGGTAGATATTAATAAATCAGTTGATATGTGACAGCTGTTTGATTTAACACATCCCGTGCATTAAAAAGACTTTACATAGGGTTCGTTTGTGTTTATGTTTTACTAGCTATCGACATCGACTTCGTTCGCATGAAATTAAAAAAACCTTAATTAGTAGTACATGTGTCCTTCCAGACTATGCTCCACATCTGTGCTAAATTTCAGCAAGATCCATACAGCCGTTCTGACATACATCCTTAAAATTTTTGAGACTAGATTTCTTTGTTTCAGATTCTATGCGATGTTAATTGACATTTAGGCAACGAAGTGACGTAACACAGGTAATACTGTCTGCATCAAAATATGTATATGATAATTTGTATTATATAATTTGCAAACAAACGTAGAGATAATTGGAGTCACCAACAAAGAGCGCATGTTTTAGACTTACGTTATACAGTAACCTATTTCAAGTCACGGCTCATGTTCATTCTTTTGTCTCTCAATGGAAAATTTTTGTAGCATCAATACGCGAAACAAAATTTATAAAATTAATTTACATGAACTGTTTTTAAAGCAGTTGATTAATTTGATTGCTTTTAAATCAAGAGCTTAAATAAATTATTTGTCTTTATGATTTAATTAGATAAACCTGTTTGATCGCGCTAAACGAATATTGACGAAAGTTACTTTTGGTGATTTATTTAATCTAATAAAGCCTTTGTGTTCTTATAGCTTAGATTAATCATCATCATCAGCTCACTATACGTCCCCACCGACGGGCTCGGAGCCTACCCAAAGTTAAGGGTGATTAGGCCATAGGCAACCACGCTGGCCAAGTGCGGGTTGGTTGACTTCACACATATCTTTGAATTTCTTCTCAGATATATGCAGGTTGTATCACGATGTTTTCCTTCACCGTAAGAACGTCGGATAAATGTACATATGTAAATCGGAAATCGAAAAACACATTGGTACATGGCGGGATTCGAACCCAGGACCTGCAGATTGCAAGTCAAGTGCTTGACCACTGAGCCACCGACGCTCTATTTATCTGGTGTGCTTAATTTAAATAAATAAAAATATTCGTATTTACCTTACAAGTGACTGTTTATTTTTCTAGGAACAATGCCGCGACCAGAGCAACAACCTCCGGAGGACTTTCGCCGCGTGTTGCGCGAGAAAGCGCTCAACCACAGCCTGTTTTACCTGAAACTGAGCGCGGGCATTGAGCCGGACAAGGCGCGCGCAGATCTGCCGGCGCAGTCGCACGCGCAGCGCCGCGCCAGCGGCAGTGGGCTCGTGAGCGCGGCACCGCACGCGCGTCTCCGGCACGCCCAGCCGCGTGTCTCTGAGCTCCTGCGTCGCTTCGAGCCCGCGCCCATGCAGTACTTGCGCATCCCGCGTGCTGCCACACCGCCCGAGGACATCACCTCCTCTGACGACGATGATCGTGCGGCGGTTCGTCGCCGTAGCCGCGACCTGAGTGACGATTCCGCCGTGGAGCTGGAGCCGCGGCCGCGCCGGCACTCGCACCCCCGTGACGTGACGCCACCACCAGGAGCGCCTTCGCCAAGGCGGGAGCGCACGCTGGTGGAGGCTCACGTGGTACAGCTGGGGCGGCGCGGCAGCGAGGGCTGCGAGACGAGGGGTCGCTGCGTGCGCACTCCCAGTGTCGTCGTCAGCGACTACTCTGACGGTGTGGCGGTAGGCGCCACAGCGGAGGAGGCGGCCTGGTTGCGCGCGCGTTCTCTGTCCGCGGATTCTGCCTGCTCTTCCTGCTCCACGCTCTCCAGCCGGGATGATGAGGAGTTCGAGTCTCCAACGCTACCTAAAAAGGTAAGATTTTCACCTGTGATTATATTTATGATTTTTGTTATTTTTATTGCGAAAAATAGTAAAGAGTAAGGTACACTAATTTTACGAGACAACGCATTATGTTTTTCCGGACAAAAATGAATACGAAAGATGATTTTAGTTTATGCACTTAGAAAAAGCTGTGCATGTTTTTCATGATTTTAAATTAATTAATTACTATACAAACATGTTTTATTGTTTGTATACGCCGTGTGTGTCAATATGGTAATCAACAAATTATACAATCGTATAAAACGTATAAAAAAGCACGAGTTCTTTATTCATAACATGTTGTGTTAATAATTAATTCTGTTAGACAAATGTCAATCTAGTTTGTTAGCTGTTTGCAGACGATGTTTGTTGCACTAGTTTATACTGCGTATAACGGTTTTCTCTTAACAAATTCTTGTAAATATAAAACAAAAGTTATTCTTTTCTGATCTTTGTATTTTCTCGATCTATATAACAACGTGTATTAGAGAAATAAGAATACAAAATAAAATAGATATACATGTAATACTCTAATTGGTGATTGGGACTCTTCTGTTCCAAGAAATGGGGAGGGCCGCGTCAAGTTGTGTACGGATTTCCACTGCCGAAACATTCGTAAAAAACAGTTGTATTTCAGCCTTACAAAATGAAAGATTACATCGCATTTGAACAGTCTTTCAACTTACTACAGTCTATGCGCAGCGTTCACTTCGCTATTTTAGCGAAACAAAGCGACTGCTTGCTCCTTGCCACCATTTAGATTAAAATAAAGATGACAACGTCTTGTTCGTCGTTTATATTAATCTGACAAAAGACAATCAGTGAAAGTGCGACCGAGTATCATGTGGGCAAGTGGACAATGTAAATTAATTCTACGTCCTTTACTTTTATCGGTGGCCTCCGTGACGTCAACGCGGTCCCGAACCGGTTGTCCTGTTTGCGTTTGTTTGATAATGTTTCAACGTTGGTATATAACACACTGATAAATAAAACTTTTACGAAATTAATATGTAAAAGTTTACGATTGTCATCGATTTAATACCAACACAATAATGTTTTGGAAACATTGCAGTAAGATTTGTACATTTTATGTGGTATAGACAGGATATATTAAGATATGCTTTTACAAATGTTCATCCTCATCATATTCAGCCTGAATTTGTCCACTGCTGAAGGTAGGCTTCCTGCACCAATTGCCACAATACCCGGTCCTGTGCCGCCCGCATCCAGTGTTCTCCCGACACGTTGAGCAGGTAATCGGTTCATCTTGCGGGAGACTTACCTTATAATTGTTAAGAAGATAAAATACAGTTCTTTTAAGTCGTTGTGCATATACGTACATCTAGTTTCTAGTATCTAAAACACTTAAAAAGCTGAAAGATACTACAAATAAAATTGTCAAACTCATACTATTGTATTCCTTTCATAAGTTTGAGTAGAGTAATAAAAAATGTTTATATTACCAACGTAATAAGATGTAAACTTTATTGCTACTAAAACGCTTTTATATATATTGTTTCGTTATCAGAAATCACAGGACGTAATACGAGTGTTATTCCGTGACAAACATTTCCATTGAACGTTATCATGGGTTCTGTATGACATATTTAATCCCGTGCCATCGGGGCATTTGTGCGCGGAAGCTGACATCCGTCAAATGTGCACTATATTGTCACTCTCCGTGTTAACTGGACCGAGACAAACCTAAATGATGCTGTTCCGGTGTTTTTTTTTTGTGAAATAACCGACATTTAAAATTGCTGCAAATTAGGATGTGATACATCAGTACTACCTTAGACAATGAAATATAAATTGCTTAATTATAATTTGTTCTGTTTATAAATCTATATTTATTTCGTAGCAACAGCTAATTTCTTAGGTCTACTGATAATCTTATTCAATTACGTCTTTAAGGCTGTATTTTCAGGGTTCCGTACTTCAAAAGGAAAAACCCTTATAGGATTACTTTGTTGTCCGTCCGTCTGTCTCTTACGACCCTGTTTTTTTATGAATATGCATGTTTGAGAACTAGAAAAAGTATGTAACAAGAGCGATTAAAGACAGCCCCATTTTATCGCATAATGTTTATAGTTTTGTGGTATACTTTACTATGAACTCTTTCAGATTAAGGTTTTTTGGCACCAGCCAAAATACAAAACAATAAACAATTTTTTTATCCCATGTATAATATTTAATTTGTTCAATTCAACAACTTTCTTGGAATTATTACAATACATCGACCGTTGGAATTTGGACTACTGTTTATTTTACAAACAATGAATTTATAGAACCAAAATATTTTTATTATAATATACATAATCTATTTGCGGACGTAAAACAAACAAATAAATGTGACTATCGTCATAAGTTTGTTAAAGTAATTAACAAAAGCTATTTAAGCAGGACTTATTGTCAACTTGTGATGTACAGTCAATATCAAAAGTAGGATTAATGTTGACTGTACAAACGCACTTAAGTCAATAAGGCTGGGGACATACTAGCGATCTTAACAATTATACTCCACCCAAAATAGATTAATATTAATATTAATATCACCCTTAACTTAAGGTAGGCTCCAAGCACCTCGGTGGGTACGTATAGTTAGCTAATGATGATGATGATTAACTTGGAAGTACACCAGTAGCAACATTTTCCCTATCCTTGGAAACCTATCTATTAGCATTTGAATTGATTGATAAAATAAGAGCAGCTAAAATTAAATAAAATAACTTATTTCTACAAATTCATAGGATAGAGCCTAGCACGAATATTTTCGTACACTTTCGTAACGTTTTCGACAAAATTTTATGCACTCCATCTACCGGGCATTAAGTACACTAAGAAATCTCAGACAAAGCTTCTAACAAAGAAAGGAAGACTTCGCTACAAAATGTCACAAACAGTCTTACCCTCTTGTCAGGCGGACAAGAACTATAAATATTAGCAGACATAATAAATATTATGATATACTAGCGATCGCCTGCGACTTCGTCAACGCAGAATCAAAAAAATAATTAGTAGTCTATGTGTTCTTCCACACTGTGTTCTCTATGTACGTAAAATTCATCGAGATCAGTTTAGCTGTTCTGGAGATACCTTCAAAGAATCATCCATCCATCTAAACATTCGCATTTATATTATTAGTATGATTGAAGGTTATTTAATCGATAGTGTATTTTAGCCTTTATCATAACAAAGCGTAACTAAAGTCACTAAAGCGTTTAGAGGCAATGTAAATTTGTTCATATCTGCCGGTGTCACAGCGGAATCCATCTCATGGACGGCGTTGACGTCAATCCTTTAACAAAGTTTCGTTTTAATTAGACCGCTTTAAAAAATCATCTATGTTTTATTGTTGTTTTTTTTTTGTCGAATAGAATATGTTAATTTGAAATAGAATAAAATAAACGATACATTTATAATTTTTATATTTCAAAAAGACAATTTATGACTACATTTAAGGTGAAAACATGTCATAACCCTAATTCAAAAATGTTTAATATAAATTAACACAATTTATTTTACATTTAAGGTGAAGTTATTATGCATACTTTTTTAAAGGATATATTTTACTAATATTCTGACACATAATAGTAAGGGAATGTACATTTTTAATCAGTTTAGTGTAGAAAAATATTTTATTTAATTTTTCTTAAGATACTGTGACATTTCCAAATAGGAACCTGTTAAATCGATACCAAGCAATTTTCCTCGTGTTATAAATTATTTTTAAAGTAGCTAATTATTTTTATATGATAATAAAATACTTCGGCACTTAATATCTGTGTTAGTTATAATGATTTATAACTACTTAAGTATTATATTTATTCCTAAAAATAGTACGATGCTAATAGCGAACTTTTACGTAATTGAATTAATCAAATGATTTCTTGAGTAACTGTAGCAAGAATGTTTCTGATATTTTTTTCTCCCCTTTGATATTATCGATGTGTTTTGTTTTTTGAATCAAATTTAAATTTCCTAACTGACAAGTTGTTTAGTTTTTGCATGAGTTGGTATGCTTGTATGTATTACTAGCGCTCGCGCGCGACTCCTTCCGCGCGGAACTAAAAAAAATAATTAGTAGCCTATGTGTTCTTCCAGACCATGTTCTATATGAGTGCTAAATTTCATCGAGATCCGTTCAGCTGTTCTGGAGATACCTTCAAATAAACATCCATCTAAACATTCGCATTTATAATATTACTAGCTGTCGCTCGCGACTCCGTCCGCGCGGGATTAAAAATAGATGTTGGCCGATTCTCAGACCTACTCAATATGCTCACAAAATTTCATGAGAATCGGTCAAGCCGTTTCGGAGGAGTATGGGAACGAAAATTGTGACACGAGAATTTTATATAAAAAAAATATTAAGAAGTGAGATGTGGATTTGTATTTATATATATTGTGATCCCGTAATATAAAAAAAAACTGAATAGTTTTAAAAAAGAAAATTAGAAATAATTTCATCTAATTTACGACTAAGATTTTATTTCAAGACTTCTTCAAGACTTCATTTCTGTTATGTAATAAATAAAAATTGTCGTCTTAAGAATATTATTGTTAGAATGCTATCACATCTATTGTTATTTGTAAAGTGTTACATAAATCAATGGACGATTACCATCACAAAAACGATGCATGAGATGTTTAGTTAGTAAACAGTTAATTGGTAGGTATGTAAGGAAACAATGGCTTGTTATGGTCAATGTTTCCTGCAGTAGTAAACCGATAGTTTAATTTTTTTATATGCTCGTCCCCGCCCGCCATTGACGTCAAGCGACCGGTCAGAGGCGCGTGTGTGTGGCGTGGGCTGCACAGGGTCGCCACATCAAGCACTAATATTTTATACAATCATCTTACTAATATTATAAAAATTTGTTTGGATGGATGGATGTTTTTTAGAAGTTATCTCCAAAACGGCTGCATGTATTTCGATGAAATTTGGCATTGATACAACATAGTTTGGAAGAACATGTAGGATATTAATT